GGGATAAAGGTGTTTAAAAAAAAAGTATGCTACATCAGTATCCCCCCTCCCTCCTTCTTACCTTTAATGAAAAGGGGGGGGGCACAGCCATACCTGGTGGTCCGTTGGTGGTAAGTTCTTTAGCGAGCAGCTCCCCTGTCCTCCCGCTCCACACAGCATGCTCGCGGGAGGACAGGGGAGCTGCTTCACATATCCCTCCCCCTGCCTCCCGACACGGAAGCAGAGTAGGCGCCTGCCGTTTCGGGCAGGCGGGTGCCTACTCTGCATTGATGGCGAACCTATGGCCGTGTGCCGACAGAAAGGATACGGCGTGCCACCTGTGGCACGCGTGCCATAGGTTCGCCATCACTGCTATAAGGTAAGACTGTGAGCTCCAGTCTGTAATCTTGTTTCTAATAACTACTCTTTTATTTATTTCTGTTACTTCTGTTGGATACAGTAGCTACTGTTTTTTTTATACAGTATCAACTTACTGTCTAGTCATTACACATTGGTGTGCAGAACAGCTCTCGCATGCGATTATGTTTGTGCTGATATAAGTACCATATGAATAACACACACTGCAAGGCCAAGCAAATCTAACTCTTTCTTTTATTTTGGAGCCCTTTTTTTTCATTTGGTGCTATACCTCACTTGGTGGTTTTTTTACCTAGCTTGGTCGTTTTAATGAATATATAATAAAAGTTACATTTTAGCCATATCTGCTCACCTAGCTTTTTTTTTTTTTAAATCACATTCACCTAACTCAATTCTAACAACATCTTCTTTGTTTCCTTTGGTATTAAGCATTTGTCCCAATAATACATTTCTTCTTCACCCTTCACTAAGTCTCAACTAGTGTTTGGGTGGAACAGTGATACTTTTATCTGCACTGAGCTATATTCACTTGGACTATAAACACACAGGGGAAATAGGACCAAAGAGGCGGGAGTCCAGATTTTTGGCGGACTGGCTGCCAAATACGCCAAGAGCTCACCTCAAGGTAAACTGTGCTGACAGTGTGAAAATTAGCCTTGGACATTATGGAGCGCAAATATCCAACCATGAATGGCAAGTTATACAAACAGTTCTAGAGTGCAACATTAACCTGTCTAGTGTGCCCCTTTTTTAGGATCCAAACTATACTTTATTAAATTGAGAAATAATTTTGTAAGTAAAAAACAAATTCAATTTTGTAGGAATTCATTATTCAAAATGTGTTCTAGCAAACAACAGATTTTTATCTCATCAAACTGTATTCTGTTTTGGTATAATTTTTTTATAGGAAATATCTGAGTTTAAAGAACATACCCCTTAGGGTGTAATTATTTTTTTTTTCTTCCCCAGTGTATATTCTCGATCTTTACGCTTTAGCTATTTTATAATTTCCTGCACTCATTGTGACTATTCTATAAAGCTCTGTAACCATGCCTGATGCTTTCTAAATAAAAATATTCATGCATACAGACACTTGTGTGTGCTTCAAATTATTCAGACAGAAGCAATTACGCAGCTACATATGTTACCCTATGATATATCCCATCGTATTACGCACTTTTATAACACTTATCATTTGTTATGAAAGATTCTTTGCAAGTGCTTACACAGAGCATTCCACCCCATTAAAAACTACAGCACTTAGCAAGCTCTTACAGTTGAATTCAGAATTTGTATTTATAATAAACTGTGTCTGTAAAAGATGTTTTGCATACAATGTTAATGAAATGTGAGCTTCAATTTAAAAAAAAAACAACAACAAATCTGTGAAATGATTACAATTAGCAAGTTTTGCACTCAATGTTAAATGAACATTCTCAAAACCCATGTTATTAATTAGGTAATTCCTTCACTACACCCTTATAGCTAAAACTGTTATGCATGCATGTTAGTGTTATGTGAAATAACACAATTGTAATTAACAGTCCCAGAATCTACATATAACAGTTGAGTTTACATCATAAAACTATGCAAACATGCTTAGAGTTAAATAGAATCAAACACAAGAGCTGATCATGCTTTATGATTCCATATTTTCTAAATATATATATATATATATATATATATATATATAATATATATGTAAAAAAAAACAGATGAAATTTGTATCTTGTAATACCTTTTTAATTGGACTAACAGAATTGTTTAATGACAAGCTTTCGGGAGAACCTCGAACCTCCCTTTCTCAAGTCTGAAGCATTTCTGAGAAAGACAACAATTCAAAGTTGCATTGTGATACAGGGGTTAAAGCGACATGACTGCAGATAAGACACAGGTTTGATAGAAAATAGACAACATTCTTGCAGAGGGTCATAAATATCTTTCTGAAGATCAGAGTGAGGGGGGAGATAAAAAAAAAAGCAAGCAGACAGTGCAGAAGATGGTACACTTTATACATACACACACACACATAAATATGTATGTGTCACATCCTGTTCCTAGCTGCGGATCAGTCTGGTGATGGCTTCTGGTATCCAGTACTCATTTTACAATTCTTGTTTTGTTTTTCTTGGTTTTTACTGGTTTTCTATTCCATGTCTGGTTTTCTTTATGCTTGGTTATTCTGGGTTCATTCCTATATTCCGTCCCTGGATTTCCCTGTCTCCAGGGTTCCTTTAAATGTTTGTTTTATGTTGCCACACCCGTTTGTTTTCCATCATTCCTTTTGTTTCAGTGTTCCTGCAGGCAGCTGCTCAAGTCTCCTGCCAGATATGGGGTACATTGGCGTTGTGGCAGGCTTATGCAATGTATGATCATATAATGTGACTAAATCCCCATGATTTTCATATATAGTACTTTGTTATTTCTCCTCTTGTTTTGCATATCTTGTCTTGTTTTAGTTTGTATACCCAGTCCATGTACAGTCCTGTCCTGTCCTGCCCATGTTATGTCTATGTTTCCCTCGTGTCTTGTGTACATGTTCTGGGTTTAGCTTTCTATCCTTCTCCGGTTCTGGGTTCTATTAGTTCGGTCTTGTTTTCAAGTTTGGTGCCTTTCCTAGTCTTTCCTTGTTTCTGTACTGCATACATATCTGCTGCAGTACCTCCTTATTCTGCTCCTGGGAGGTCTGCTTAATTCTTGCTCCAAGTTCCTGGGATCCACATAAGCTGAATCAGGGACCTGGCATGTGGCTGCACAAACAATGGTTCTCAACACCAGGGGGCGTGTGGTTATCCTGCACCAGGCCCTGATAAATCAACTCTCACGCTGGAGACTCCCAACAACATCAGGCACTCAGGGGTCCCGGTTTCTGTACCGCCACCCGTGACAATATGCAAACTCATAAACACATGAACACATATACACATGCATATACATACACATACACATAAACACATATACATGCATATATAACCCAAAAAGAGAAAAAAAAAACTCACCACAGGTGATTAGCTTTGGAGGACGCCGATCAATCAGCTAGAATCACCTGCAGTGAGTTTCTTTTTCTTTCTTTTTGGGTTATATATTGGTGCACATTAAGCTGTTCGTATTATGTTTATTTTGTTGATCCTGATGAAAGCTCAGAACGTCGTTTTTTTTAAAGAAACTTCATTTTTTTTTTTAAGATTCTTCAATAAAGAACTGATTTTACTTAAAAAGAACGTGAGTGCTAGCCTATGTTTATATTTTATATATATATATATATAATGGAAAAAGGGGCTTGCACTTATGGCTTTGGTTGTTGCTTACATAACTGTTTTGGTTGTTGTTTCGTATATATATACACACATACAGTTGCAAGAAAAAGTACGTGAACCCTTTGGAATGATATGGATTTCTCCACAAATTGGTCATAAAATGTGATCTGATCATCTAAGTCACAACAATAGACAATCACAGTCTGCTTAAACTAATAACACACAAAGAATGAAATTTTGCCATGTTTTTATTGAACACACCATGTAAACATTCACAGTGCAGGTGAAAAAAGTATGTGAACCCTTGGATTTAATAACTGGTTGAACCTCCTTTGGCAGCAATAACTTCAACCAAACGTTTCCTGTAGTTGCAGATCAGACGTGCACAACGGTCAGGAGTAATTCTTGACCATTCCTCTTTACAGAACTGTTTCAGTTCAGCAATATTCTTGGGATGTCTGGTGTGAATCGCTTTCTTGAGGTCATGCCACAGCATCTCAATCGGGTTGAGGTCAGGACTCTGACTGGGCCACTTCAGAAGGGGTATTTCCTTCTGTTTAAGCCATTCTGTTGTTGATTTACTTCTATGCTTTGGGTCATTGTCCTGTTGCAATATCCATCTTCTGTTGAGCTTCAGCTGGTAGACAGATGGCCTTACGTTATCCTGCAAAATGTCTTGATAAACTTGGGAATTAATTTTTCCTTCGATGATAGCAATCCGTCCAGGCCCTGACGCAGCAAAGCAGCCCAAAACCATGATGCTCCCACCACCATACTTCACAGTTGGGATGAGGTTTTGATGTTGGTGTGATGTGCCTTTTTTTTGCCACACATAGTGTTGTGTGTTTCTTCCAAACAACTCAACTTTGGTTTCATCTGTCCACAGAATATTTTGCCAGTACTGCTGTGGAACATCCAGGTGCTCTTGTGCAAACTGTAAACGTGCAGCAATGTTTTGTTTGGACAGCAGTGGCTTCCTCTGTGGTATCCTCCCAAGAAATCCATTCTTGTTTAGTGTTTTACGTATTGTAGATTCGCTAACAGGGATGTTAGCATTTGCTAAGTCTTTTGTAAGTCTTTAGCTGACACTCTAGGATTCTTCTTCACCTCATTGAGCAGTCTGTGCTGTGCTCTTGCAGTCATCTTTACAGGACGGCCACTCCTAGGGAGAGTAGCAGCAGTGCTGAACTTTCTCCATTTATAGACAATTTGTGAACAGCAAGGCTTTCGGAGATACTTTTATAACCCTTTCCAGCTTTATGCAAGTCAACAATTCTTAAAAGTAGGTCTTCTGAGAGCTCTTTTGTGCGAGGCATCATTCACATCAGGCAATGCTTCTTGTGAAAAGAAAACCCAGAACTGGTGTGTGTTTTTCATAGGGAAGGGCAGCTGTAACCAACACCTCCAATCTCATCTCATTGATTGGACTCCAGTTGGCTGACATCTCACTCCAATTAGCTCTTGGAGATGTCATTAGACTAGGGGTTCACATACTTTTTCCACCTGCACTGTGAATGTTTACATGGTGTGTTCAATAAAAACATGGCAACATTTCATTCTTTGTGTGTTATTAGTTTAAGCAGACTGTGATTGTCTATTGTTGTGACTTAGATGATAATCAGATCACATTTTATGTCCAATTTGTGCAGAAATCCATATGATTCCAAAGGGTTCACATACTTTTTCTTGCAACTGTATATACGAAGCAACAACCAAAACAGTTATGGTGGGGAAAAAATTGTGATTTAAAACCCCTTCCACCTTAAGTCTGTGGATAGTTAATACAATGTTAAACAAAACTCTGCACACCAGTCAAGCCATAAGACTTGCTTTGTGATTCTTTGTTGAACTAATTTGCATATGCCCACCAAGAATCCTCTGCGGTAGTAACATCACTGCAAATTTGTGGTTTCTGTGGGAAAAGCAAGTCTTATGGCTTGACTGGTGTGCAGATGAAAGAGTTACAGCAAGCTTTTCATGATTTGTCCAAATAATTGATGTTTTGTAATATGAATAAATTTTGTATAGTACACTTTTTTTTGCCCTCTTTATTACAGGCCTACTGCACTGTCGGTTCCGGCACACCACAAACGACTGGTGTTATTTAACTATGTTTGTTGGTTATGAATTATATGTTATGTTACCTTACCATCACGACAATATTACTCCGACTACAAATATATATCTATATATATACACACACACACACAATACACAAGATCCAGCGCACTCACCTATCCACTAAACAGCAACTTAAATGTTGACAGACTTTATTATTTAAAAATAAAATAAAAATAATGGGGGTTTAGTTACATTATATGATCATACATTGCATAAGCCTGCCACAACGTCAAGGTATCATATCTTTGGCAGGTCCTACACTAACAGCCTAATGTCTGCTCTTATGAGATTAACCCACTTACTTGGGGAAAAAATTCCATTTGGGGCTCTCTGCAGTACAAGGCTAAAGAGGGCCCTGGGATGAGGCACCTGTGACAGGGAGGGGTGCAAAACCAAGGAGTTGGCTAGACTCCCAAATATATATATGAAACCAGGGGGCTGCACTCACCTGATCATGCATAAATGGGGGTGCTGCTGGGACCAATTTATACAATACACAAAATCCAGCGCACTCACCTATCCATTAACCCCTTAAGACCACAGGACGTTCTATGCCGTCCTTATTTAGATGGCTCTAAATGCCGCAGGGCGGCATAGAACACCCTGCGATCTTATGTACTTAACCGGTCGCCGGGGATCGCGGTATGGAGACTCACCTTGGAGCCCAGGGAGTCCTCCTCCGTCCTCTTTGGCCCCCCTGGGCCATGTGATCGCGAGGTCCTTGCGAGGACCTCGCGATCACATGGACGGCATAGCCGTCCAAGGCATTGCCAGCAAAGGGAGTGTCTGTAATGACAGGTACTCCCCCTGCTGTCTGAAAATCAAATAAATAAATGTTAAAACAGTGTAAAATTAAATTATATATACTTGGATCATATATATATTTATTATATATATGATCCAAGTATATACATATACACATATACATATATACACATACACTGTCTAAGTGTATTTTAATATTAATATATACATAATTATATATATATATATTAATATAAAAATACACGTACAATGATATTGATTAAATATATATATATAATTTTCATTATATATATATATATATTTATATATAATACAAAAAATAAATAAATATGTAAATACGTTAAATAATAAAATTAAAAAATTAAAAATAAATAAATTACAAATATATATACATGTGTAATTTTGTTCTAACTGTATTTTAAAATTAATATATATGTATATATATTGATATTAAAATACATGTAGAACAAAATAATATATATATCTATGTACCTACCGTATATACTAGAGTATAAGTCGACCCGAATATAAGCCGAGGTCTCTAATTTTACCACAAAAAACTGGGAAAACTTATTGACTCGAGTATAAGCCTAGGGTGGGAAATGCAGCAGCTACTGGTAAATTTCTAAATAAAATTAGATTCCAATAAAATTACATTAATTGAATATTTATTTACATTGTGTGTATATAATGAATTCACTGTGTGTGTTTGTGTGCAGTGTGTGTATATAATGAATGCAGTGTGTGTGTATATAATGCAGTGTGTGTTTGTGTGAATGCAGTGTGTGTATATAATGCAGTGTGTTTATGTGAATGCAGTGTGTGTCTATAATGCAGTGTGTGTTTGTGTGAATGCAGTGTGTGTATATAATGCAGTGTGTGTTTGTGTGAATGCAGTGTGTGTGTGTGTGTGTGTGTGTGTGTGAGTTTGTGTAGTGTGTGTAAACTGGGTGAGGGGAGGGCATTTTTATTATATTAATTTTTTATTGTAATATTATTATTATTTTAATATTATTATTATATTTTAATATTATTATTTTAATATTATTATTTTATTTTAATATTTGCATTTTTTTTTTATTTAACTGTTTTCTGTCCCCCCCTCCCTGCTTGTTGCCTGGCCAGGGAGGGGGGCTATGTTAATCCCTGGTGGTCCAGTGGATGGGCTGTACAGTGGGGGGGCTGGCAGAGAGCTGTTACCTACCTTCCTGCATCTCCTGTCTGCTCCCTTCTCCTCCGTGCAGCTCCCCTTTCAGCTCCGTTCTGCTTACAGTGTAAGTCTTGCGGTCTGCGTGCCGCACGGAGCGTTGCCACGGTAAACCGTGGCAATGCTCTGATGGCCGCGGGTGTCAGAGCCCTCCTCCCTGGCCAGGCAACAAGCAGGGAGGGGAGACAAAAAACAATTAAATAAAAAAAAAATACAAATATTAAAATAAAATAATAATATTAAATAATATGTACTCACTTTTGTTGCCAACGGTTTAGACATTAATGGCTGTGTGTTGAGTTATTTTGAGGGGACATCAAATTTACGCTGTTATACAGGCTGTACACTTACTACTTCACATTGTAGCAGAGTGTCATTTCTTCAGTGTTGTCACATGAAAAGATATAATAAAATATTTACAAAAATGTGAGGGGTGTACTTTTGTGAGATACTGTATATATATAAAGTAGGGAATGTCACCGCATGCCTGGTATTAGATGCAGAATATCACTTATTTCCCACTATTGAGGTTTTTCCCCAAATTTGTTTTTATCTTGCCAATTCTGCTCACTTTTGATCTTTCTTTGGGAAAAAAAATATAATGATTTATTTATTTTTTTAAATCGTGAAAGTTTGTTTTTCAGAATTTTCTGTTTTAAGACCTCTACAATTTTCTTTTCCTGAACAATACTTTCTTGGCTCTAATTCTGTTTTTTTTCTTTCTGAACATAATATTATGACGTGTTTTAGCAACTTGAACAAATAATGCAAACCTTCATGGTATTTCAGTAAATGAACATGGCAAAGCTCAAATTGATTTAAAGGGCAAAATTCTGCACAGTTTAGGTCTCATCTTCAGTCTACCCTTTTAATCCTAACAAAATAATATTTAATTTTCTATAAATTAGTAGAACTGTAATAGTATTATGACTAGTTCCACGTTTGTTGTATTTTCAATCTTTGAAATATATGAGCTAAATATTTTGTTAAAAATGTGTGAACCTATATAGAACATAAGAAAAAAACTTGGAGTGTCATACATATCTCCTTTTTGAAATAACTAAACAAATTGCAGATTTTTTTCTTTATTATTTTTATTGTCCCAAAATAAATTGGTTTACCAATAGAATTTACACAGTTTAGTAATCTCTACCAAGTACCTATTTTATTCTTTGTTTTGAAAAAATGAATGTAAAAAGACTACAGTTATTACCAATGTTTTAGTCATGCATCAATACACTCATCATCTGTAAGCAAGCTCCCTAAATTTAGACCATGCTGTAATTCGATCTCCAAATTATTGGCGCTACTAGTAATCATTCAGTTTAGTATTTATACTGAAATCTCATAATGCTTATGCCAAAATATTCCACAAGTATAAAATATATAACAACCCATGCTCACAGGTATAACAGATATAACACACCCATGTTCACATAATCATAATCTTTTAGAACCACATACAATATCATCCAGCAGTTCAATATGGGAGTCTCTGTATTTGATGTACTACTTAATAGTAGTCAGCAACAGTTTCTTCTAAAAACAAAAGAGCTAATCAATAGAACAAAAATTACATCTTGTTTGACAACTCTGAGGCCTAGGCCCAAATGGGTATATAGCGATGTGAAACCCACCATGTTCTTCTTTTGGTTATTGTGTGTTCATATTACCGGGTAGTGTAATAAAGTAACTACTTTGTAGTATTTAGATTTTATATGCTACAGTAAGGAAATCATTCAGTCAAGGTAAGATTGTAAAGCAACTGCCTTATTTAATTAGGTATAAGGGGATAAAAAAAACCCTAGCTGGTCTGGGACTCAGGGCACAGGAGTAACAGATATATACTAACATGAAACAAGACCAGCAACATATTATTATTATTATTATTATTATGATATTTATAGAGCTCCGTAAAATTCCGCAGCACTTTACAATGGGTGGACGAACAGACATGTAGTTGTAACCAGACAAGTTGGACACAAAGGAACAGAGGGGTTGAGGGCCCTGCTCAATGAGCTTACATGCTAGAGGGAGTGAGGTAAAATGACACAAAAAGGTAAGGATAGTATTAGACTAGTGACGGTTGCAGAAGAGGAATCAGTCAGGAGCTATTAACAGTTTAATTGATGCGCTTTTATGAAGAAGTGGGTTTTTAACGATTTTTTGAAGGAGTGGAGACTGGGTGAGCATCTAACGGAGGAGGGAAGCGAGTTCCACAGTGCAGCCCTCGAGAAATCTTGAAGGCGAGCATCAGAGGTGGGAATACGGACAGAAGATAGACGTAAGCCTTCTGCAGATCGTAAGGGCCTAGACGGGACATACTTGTGTATAAGGGAGGATAGGTAGGTGGGAGCAGCATTATGTAGAGATTTGAAAGCAAGAACCAGAATTTTAAATTGAGCTCTATATTTTATAGGAAGCCAATGTAGGGACTGACAGAAGGGTGAGGCATGGGAGGTGCGGGCGGACAGGAAGATGAGCATTCATTATGTA